AAGCAAAACTGCTTTTTAGATGGAGGCCAATAATAAATGTCTTTGAAATAACTATTGTGTGTATGAAGTAGATGTGTAATACATTCTAATGAACAATATAACTTGGTTCCTTGTTAAAATATCTTTTTTCCAAATGGATGAAGAGCTTTTTAAAGGCTAGAACATTGCAAGTGTTTTTAATCTGGTTTCAGTCCATTATACTGGTTTTAGACCCCTACTGAGACTCAGACAGAGATGCTTTTTTACCCTCATCTTGCTTACTGCTGGGATACCCCCAGAAAATGGGCTCAGTCCGGTGATAGATGTTTCTAAGGTAGCCCCAATGAGTTTTGGTTAAAAAAACAGAAGTAGACAAAAAACATTTTAGCCAAATTGTAAAAATTTTGTATTAATTTACCCATTATAATAATATATTATTTAAGATAAAACAGAAAGTGTAGTCTTGAAAATACATACTTTCAAAACTCAATTAACAAAAATTCTATTGAAATAAATTTCTTTGCATTTAAGATGAATCATATTTTAGTAATCAGCCAGTTAAAATATGTAATGTAATATGCTGGTTAAAGGTTTTTTTTTTTTTATCTCTCTTGTTTGTTCTTATGCTGTACTGGTGAGCCAGGCTCTCAGTACTTGGCTGTAAACCTTCTTCAGACAAGGTGTCAAAAGTACTCACAACCTTTATAGATCAGTATATATATTTTTTATATGAAATTAATGATTTAACTTGTTTATTTAAGCAAAAATAAAGAGTACTATTTGTTGGGATATGTAGGAGAGTAATGTAAACTTTGTATGTATTATCTGCTCTATGTTGGATGTAGGATGACCTGCTCAAATTATTTTGGAAGAGTGGAAATATGTTCTATGGAGTTTTTTTTTTTTTACTTATTTAAGAAGAAATGGAAGCTCAGTTTTACTGAATGCTCCTGAACATATTACTCTTCCCCGATAAACCAAAAGAACTTTTAGTCCAAAGTCATAGAAAACAGATTCCAGATCAGAACCATCAAAATGGCTCTCAGAGTGTTAGGTTCAAAGAGACTGCAGGTGCTCAGAAGACTGGGAAGTCTGGTGGCTGGACAGATATTGACTTTTAGACACCCTCCACCTGAGGGGAGCCCACAAATGGCCATCATAGGAGAATCTAATTTTTTACAGAATGCTGGATCAGAGCAGATTAAGAGAAATGTGAATGGAAGCAAAACTGCTTTTTAGATGGAGGCCAATAATAAATGTCTTTGAAATAACTATTGTGTGTATGAAGTAGATGTGTAATACATTCTAATGAACA